CTACACACACTATTTTAGCCTGATCCTTTTATCTTGGCACCTCTGAAGCCTGTGTGATACTGCTCAAATAACAGCTGTATGCAAATAATAAGAAAATAAGAAAACTTCTTGATACATTATTAATGTATAGAAAAAGACAGGACCATCAGGAGAGACACATAAAAGCATCTTTTCAAATACTTTAAGATGTTTGTTAGCATGGATCTTTTTATTAATATAATGAAGAAGAACGGACTAGAAAATGGCAATAAAAGAAGTCATAAGAATGAAGGGAGATAATATAAAATTATTCCTCCCTATAACATGTAAATCAAGTAAAAGACAGTCCGGTATGGTGTTTAAAAACCGACTCTAATAAATTATCTAACCCTACCACATAAATAATTAGAAAGAGAGCAACAAGAAAAGCCCATAGTAAGCAGAAGGAAGAAAATAATAAAGATCAGAGCAGAAATACACAACATATATATAAAACACACACCAAAAGATCAATAAAATCAAGAGCTGGTTCTTTGAAAGGATAAATAAGACTGATGAACCTCTAGCCAGGCTCACCAAGAAACAAAGAGAAAGGACCCAAATAAACAGTCAGAAATGAAAGAGGTGAAGTAACAACCAACCCCACAGACATACAAAGGATTGTAAAAGAATACTATAAACAACTCTACTCCAACAAACTTGACAACCTAGACAAAATGGACACATTCCTAGAAAAATACATGCTTCCAAGACTCAATCAGGAAGAATACAAAAACCTCAATAGGCTGATAACTACTGATAAAATTGAAATAGTAATAAAAAATTCCACAAAACAAAAGCCCTGGTCTGGGTGGCTTTACAGGGGAGTTTTATCAAACACAGAAAGTAGAACTAAAACCTACATTTTTCAGATTGTTAAAAAAAAAATTCAAGAGAAAGGCACACTTCTAAGCTCCTTCTGTGAAGCTAGTATTACCCTAATCCCTAAATCAGACACTACAAAGAAAGAGAATTTCAGGCCAATATTCCTGATGAACATAGATGCAAAAATCGTCAAAAAAATCGTCAAAAAATTCTAGCAAATTGGATCCAGCATTACATTAGAAAGATCATACACCATGACCAAATGGAATTTATTCTGGGGATGTAGTGTTGGTACAATATCTGCAAATCAATAAATGTGATACATCATATAAACAAATGGAGAGACAAAAATCACATAATCATATCAATTGATGTGAAAAAAACATTTGACAAAATCTAACACCCTTTCTTGATAAAAACTCTCAGCAAAGTGGGAATAAAGGGATCATATCTTAACATAATAAAGGCCTTATATGACAAAACTACAGCCAACATCATACTTAAGGAGCAAAAACTAAACTCATTTCCCCTAAGAACAGGAACAACACAGGGATGCCCACTCTCACCATGCCCATTTGACATAGTACTGGAAGTACTAGCCATAGTGATCAGACAAGAAGAAGAAATAAAAGGTATCCAAATTAGAAAAGAAGTAAAACTGTCATTATTCACAGATGATATGATATTATATAATACATAGAAAACCCTTAAGACTCCATAAAAAAACTACTAGACTTGGGTGGGAGTGGTTTGGGAGAGGTCAATGAGAGGAAAAGGAGACTTATGTAATACTTTAAAAAATAAAGAATTTAAATAAAAAAATAAATGGAACACTTGGGAAAAAATCTTTTCCTAAAAAACAAACAAAAAAACCTACTCTACTTAATAAATGAATTCGGCAATGTAGCAGGATACAAAATTAACACCCAAAAAGCTATGGTTTTTCTCTACACCAATAATTAACTACAGAAAGAGAAACTAAAAAAAAAAAAATCCCAATACCATTGCAACAAAAAAAATTAAGATACCTAGAAATAAATTCACTAAGGAGGTAAAAAACCTGTACTTGGAAAACTACAGGACAGTGAAAGAAGAGATAGAGGAAGACATAAACAAATGGATTAATATATCGTGTTCATGGATTGGTAGAATCAACATCATTAAAATGTTCATACTACCCAAAACAATCTATAGATTCAACGCAATTCCCATTAAAATACCAACGGCATATTTCACAGACCTAGAATGAACTCTCCAAAAATTCATATGGAATTAAAAAGAGAGAGAGAGAGAGAGAGAGAGAGAGAGAGAGAGAGAGAGAGAGAGAGAGAGAGAGCCCAAAAAGCTGCAGCAATCCTGAGAGAGAAGAACAAAGTTGGAGGGATCACAATACCAGATATCAACCAATATTACCAAGCCACGGTTCTCAAAACTGCCTGGTACTGGCACAAGAACGGACATATAGACCAATGGAACAGAACAGAGAACCCAGAAATTGACCCGTTATTATGCTCAATTAATATTTGACAAAGGAGGTAAGACCATACAATGAAGTCAAGACAGTCTCTTCAATAAATGGTGTTGGGGAAATTAGACAGATACATGCAAAAAAAAAAAAAAAAAGAAAAGAAAAGAAAAAGAAAGAAAGAAAGAAAGTAAAGAAAGAAAGAAGAAAGAATATAGAACAACTAACTTACACCATAAACAAAGATAAATTCAAAATGGATAAAGGACTTAAAGGTAAGACAGGAAACCATAAAAATCTTAGAAGAATCCAAAGGCAGCAAAATATCAGACATATGTCATAGCAATATCTTTACCAATACCACTCCTTAGACAATGGAAACTAAGGAGAAAATAAACAAATGGGACTACATCAAGATAAAAAGCTTCTGCACAGTCAAAGAAACCAACAAAACAAGAAAGCCCAAGGCCGGGAGAACATATTTGCCAATGTTATCTCTGATAAGAGTTTAATCTCCAAAGTTTACAGGGAACCCATAAAACCTAACAAAAGGAAGATAAATAATCCAATAAAAAAATGGACCAAGGACCTAAATAGATACTTTTTGAAAGAGGACATACAGAAGACCAAGAGATATATGAAAACATGCTCTAAGTCAGTAATCATCTGAGAAATAAAAATCAAAATGAAAATGAGGTACCATCTCATAACTGTCAAAATGGCTAACATCAAGAAATCAACAAATGACAAGTGCTGGAGAAGATGTGGAAGAAAAGGAACCCTCATCACTGCTGGTGGGAATGCAGACTGGTGCAGCCACAGTCGAAAACAGTATGGAATTTCCTCAAAAAATGAAAAATGGAACTCCATTTGACTCAGTAATCTCACTGCTAGGAATATATCCCAAGAAACCAGGAACACCAATCAGAAAAGATATATGCACCCCTATTTCATAGTAGCACAATTTACAATAGCTAATATTTGAAAACAGCCTAGGTGCCCATCAGCAGATGAGTGGATTAAAAAACGGTGGTACATATACACAATGGAATACTATGCTGCTGCAACAAAGAAGGAATTCTTACCATTTGCAACAGCATGGATGGACCTATAAAGCATTGTGCTAAGCAAAATAAGCTAGTTAGAGAAAGATAAATATCACTCATTTGAGGAATATAATGAACAACATAACCTGATGAACAAAAATAGAGCCAGAGACATAGAAGCATCAAACACACCATTCAACCCAAGAGGGAAGGTAGAGGGGGAGGGGGGAACAGTAAGAGATCAACCAAAGGACTTGTATGCATGCATATAAGCATAACTAATGGACATAGACAGTAGGGGGGTGAGGGCATGTGCTGGGGGGTAGGAGTAGCAGGGAGAGGTCAATGGGGAAAAAAAGAAACTTATGTAATACTTTAAACAATAACAATTTTTTTAAAAACAAAACAAAAACAAACAGATGCTACAGCCCAGCTGGTGTGCCTCGGTGGTTGAGCATCAACCCCATAAACCAGGAGGTCACAGTTTGATTCTAGTCGTGATTGGGTTTCATTTGGGCTTGATTACCAGTAGGGGGGTTGCAGAAGGCAGCTGGTTGATGATTTTCTCTCATCATTGATGTTTCTATCTCTCTCTCCCTCTGAAACACACACACACATAAATAAATAAAGAAAGAAAGAAAGAAAGAAAGAAAGAAAGAAAGAAAGAAAGAAAGAAAGAAAGAAAGAAAGAAAGAAAGAAAGAAAAAAGAAAAAACAACATCAGACTATGAAGCCGACTTCTTGGGTTTGAATCCTGGCTCTATCATCTGCTACCTGTGTGACTAAGATTCCCTCATCTTTAAAATGGGTATAATAATGGTATCTAACTGACAGGTTGTTATAAAGATTAAATCATATTTGTAACATGGCCAGGCACAAAATAAGTGCCTTAAAATGATGGCTAACCCCTTATACATACCCTGGTGTGGCCAGAAGGAACTACACCAAAATGTTATCAGATGTTAACTCCATGTGGTAGCAGTATGGTTTCTTAAATACCAAAAAACTCAACATATATACTTTTGTAATAAAGAAATAGTGGTGTAAATGAACATTAGTCAGAGGAAAACAGAAGCTTGACAATTTAATGTGGATTTTTATATGAATAGGGTGTTCCAATAGAAAACTTTCAGTTAACTAAGGCTATTCCTCTTAATATTAATTTTTATTAAAAAGAGACTATTTATTAAGGATATATAAATAATACAATTAATAATAGAAACTGGATAATATAAATAATGAGTAGAGGTCACGAATAAAATAGCGATAAGAATAGTTAGGGAAAAGAAGCAGGGAGTATTTAATAAGTTATATAGAGATAACGAATTATAGATTCACAGTAACACATATTGAATTATCATATAATTACATGATAGCATAATTACCAGCTGTATGAAGTTAACTGCTATAAGCAGAACTAAAGACTTAAAAATATTACCCAAGTTAGCACTTGAGAATACATTGTAGGAAACAGTTATGCATTAGCTGAAGACTGGACAAAATGACATAATTGGTCTTCCTCTTCCTAACCTCCTAAATTTACCCACCAAGTTATCTCTTGGGATGATTTATGCTGCCAGTGTATTTAGCAGAGATGATGGTAATTCAACTCATTTCTTAGCAACTGAAAGCTGACAATGACTTACTGGAAAGAAAGTGCTGGGACGCTGGGCCAAAGTCTCTGTGAGCTTCATGCAGCTGCCTGATGCGGTCCTCAACAGCCACCTGGGATGAAGAGGAGACAGATGATGTTTTCGAATCATATATAATGAGGAACAATTAAAACAATGTATACTTTCTGGTAAGATCTTTTGGGCCTATAAGGTTAGAATGCTAAAGCAACAATTTATAACCCTGTTTTTAAAAATATGTTTTTATTGATGAGAGAGAGAGGGAGGGAGGGAGGGAGGGAGGGAGGGAGGGAGGGAGAGAGAGAGAGAGAGAGAGAGAGAGAGAGAGAGAGAGAGAGAGAGAGAGAGAGAAAGAAAGAAAGAAAGAAAGAAAGAAAGAAAGAAAGAAAGAAAGAAAGAAAGAAAGAAAGAAATATCAACTAGAGAGAAACATCAATTAGCTGCCTCCTGCATTATCTGTACCAAGGATTGAGCCCACAACGCGGGCATGTGCCCTGACAGGGAATCAAACCGGTAACCTCTCGGCTCATGGGTTGATGCTCAACCACTGAGCAACACCGTCTGGGCAACCCTGGTTTTAATATCCACTTATTGTTTGTGGCTTCCAAAACCCATTTTTATGAAACCAAGGTCAAACAAAAAAGAATTGCTCTCTTACATGTTAAAATGGATTGAAAATAAAGCCTCACTGCCAGCCACAAATGAACTACTGCTCTAATTAGTATCAACAAAAATGCAAATTCTAAATTTTTCATGAAAATGTTAGGGAGGTTGCCATTCACTATAATATGAAAAGGTTAGGGAGTTGCCATTCATTATAATATCAGGTGACTAAAGGGCCTCAGAAGTGACATATTTCATCTTACTCCTTGACTAAGTCTATTGTTTTTGACTAATGCTTTTTGGAACAATATTGATCAATAATTAATGGATCATTGAGTCATAATTAATCATTGGTAATAAGTAACCAAATGGTTAATTAATACTTAAGTATAAAAAAATAGAGGCAAGGTTAAATTTAGGGTATTTACAGGGTGGATAATTAGATAAAAGAAATGTTCAGATTTTAGTTTTTAGTGGATTTGGGGATTACTAGGAATTATATCTTTAGCTGGCATAGAGTAAAAATTACCATGTTTTTCTTATTAGATTTTTCTATAATATACGGACACAATGTCCTGATAGTTTAGTAAATTCCATTCTGAGTGGGGAAAGAAAGGAAGAATCTTATGAGTGAAATGGTATACTTTGTCATCTGACATTATGCCAACCAGTGGTGGTCCCAAACATCCACATCCTAGCTCCACAATACTAGATCTTGATTTGGTTCTAAACAGCTCATGCTAAACAAGGGACTAGCTAGTGCTTGGCCAGAGCCATCAGAGCTCAAGTGGTTTGCCCTTGTGCTATGAAGATTTCCCAAGAGGTAAGATAAATCTCAAGCTTACCAAGAAAGTTGCTCAGGTAGCCTGGTTCAAAGCCAACTCTAACCTTCCAATATCAATCAAGTATCTAGCATATATCCAGAACAATCTCCTCCCCCCCACCTCCACTTTCTCCGTAACCTTACCTATCTTTGCTTGAACAAATATCTGGAAAACTAAGTGAACTTCCAAAAAAAAAAAATGTAGTGTTTGCACAGAAAAGCATGAGGAACATTTCAATGCTACCTTCCCAGCCTATGACCTGCACTCCCAGACATACTCTACCCGCCTGTCCTGTGATATTCCATCCAATATAACACTTGTGTGACTTGTTTGTCCTGCTCCTTCTCTCTGGAATGCTTATTCTTCTCTCCCAGTTCAAAGCTTTTATATGTTTATGTGCTTACTTTCCAATCCCCAGGTTAAAAGTGATTGCTTCCTCAGCCTTCTCACAGCACATTGTTTAAACTTGAAGTACTTCTTATCATCTCATTCATTTTAGTTATATGAATATGAGTATATCTTGTAATGGATTGTAAGCTCCTTCATAATATAGGCCATTCTTTGCTAATCTCTCTTCTCCCACCCTCTCTCCTGTGGGATACACTGAACCCTGCACATATTAAGTGGTAGCAAATATTTGTTTAGTAACTAGTTGATCAAAGCAATGGATATGTGTGTATGTTCACACATGTGTATACGAGAGAGGGAAGGGAAGGGGAAAGAGAGAGGAGAGGAGAAGTGAAATAAAGAGAGAGAAAGAGAGAGAGAGAGAGAGAGAGAGAGAGAGAGAGAGAGAGAGAGAGAGAGAGAGAGAGAGAGAAAATGCCCACTGGCTCTGAGTGCATGCTGCACATCCTTGAGTGAAAAATCTTAACTTTTTTTATCAGTAAAATAGAACAACTACATGACTTCGGTGGGAATTAAATAAGATGATACATGTGAAGTATTTGGCCTAGTTTCTGTCACATGATAATTGCTCAGTGAATGTCATTGGCTACTGTTATTGTTGATATTATGGTTAATAAATGCAGAGAAATAGGTGATAATGTGCAACACACCACATATAGTACAAAAACAGTTAATCTTTATTAAGCACTTCATTAATGAAGATATTAATTTATTTAATCTTTATTATAATTCTATATTAGGAAGTAATATTATTTCCCCACTTTATTGATGTAGAAACTGAAGTATAAGAGGTTAAAAACAAAAGAAAACAAAACATAACTTGGCTAGCTTAAGTGCTTAGTAAACCGGCAAAGTCAGATTTCAAACTTATTCAATTTGGCTCTTGCTCTTAAATGCTTACTATTTTAGAGACGGAATTTTGTAAAAAAGCATTTTATAAATATTTCATAAGCATCTAGCCTTCTAATTTATTTATGCTCAATCAATTAATATATTAAATACAGACCAAATCTATTGTCAGATCTATAATATCTTAGTGATCAATATATTTTATGATCCCATCGCAGGTCAGTTTCTGGTCATGAAGAATGTGATATCATAAGATTATAGAGATGGCTGTTAGAAGAACACATGCAAATTAATTTTTGGAATATGTAATTAGTTCTAAATGCCAAATGGGTAATTTTATGAACTGATTAATCAAGAGATGAATGTGAAATTTTGGGGGTGGGGAAGAGGGAATGAGAAGGCCATATGGGAGTGGACACTATCCAGAAATCTTTTCTTGTATTAAGAAAAAATCCCAAGGAGGAACATGTAAATGGGAAGAAGTATGAGTGCTCCACAGGCCAAGTCCTCTAGCAATGATGTTAGTAGTTTCACAGAGATCACACAGATGCAGCATCTGAGTCCATCATAGGCCTGTGATCTCTGCAGAGTGTTTCCTTCCTATACAAGGAGAACTCCAGCAGCAGTTTCCAGGGTATATTCAATGTTGTCAAGAATTTAGAATGACATAAAAATTGAATAACTTAAATTTAGGAAATGCATGAGAGATTGAAACTAAAAATATATCAAGTAACGAAATGAAATATTCAGGAAATAGTCTTAAAATAACAAAAGAATTAAGCATGAAATATTTCTTTTCACAAAATTTGAAGAAAAGTATTACATGGATTGAATGTACACTTAAATAAACAAAGAAATATTTTTAAGAAAAACATAAAGGCACATAAGATCCTTAAAAATTGTAGTTACTTAAAATTAGGACTAATAAATGTATTCAGTAAAGTTGTAAGATACAAAATTAATATATAGAAATCAACTGCATATACACTAATAATGAACATTCAGAAGGAGAAATTTTTAAAAAAATCTCAGATTCAACTTCATGAAAAAGAATAAAATACTTAGGAATAAATTTAAACAAAGAGGTGAAAGACATATACTCTAAAAACCTAAAACATTTATGAAAGCAATTGAAGACACAAATAAATAGATAGACCATGCTTATGGATTTGATAATTAATATCATTAAAAAGTCCATATTACCCAAATCAATCTACAGATTCAGTGCAATACCTATCAAAATACTAATGGCATTTATCATAGAACTAGAACAAATAATACTAAAATTTGCATGCAACCACAAAAGACCCCAAATAGTCAAAGCAATCTTGAAAAAGAAGAATAGAGTTGAAAGCATCATGTTCCCTGATTTAAAATTATATTACAAAGCTATAATAATCAAAACAGCATGCATGATACTGGCACAAAAGCACATAGTTCAATGGAACAAAATAAAGAGTCCACAAATCCATACTTATATGGTCAATTAATCTATAATAAAGGAGACAAGAATATACAAAGGGGAAAAGACAGTTTATTCAACAAATGATGTTAGTGAGCACGAGACTTGGTTGGAAAGTTGTAAGGAGGACATTCTGATAAAAGGACATTCCTATTTATCGGAATTCTGACTTAGAGGAGTGCCAAAGGTGGTGCCCCTAATTATTCCTTGGCCTTTCCAAACAAGTTTGTGTATATGCAGACCCCTGAGTGTTTACTGGAATCTTTATGCTTAATCCCTGGATGCCCTTGCCTAGAGGACAATGTAAACATGTGTCCTCCCAAATTATTCACCCTACTGAATGTATCTAAAGATAAAAATTCCAATAAAGACCTAGTGAGGTAGGCAATAGAGGCTGCACTTGCTACTAGAGTCAGGGGCCCCTTAGCCCTCTCTTTCACAGTCAAACTGTGTTTGAGTATCGGTTCATCCATCATTCAGGGGTTGCTGGTCAGCCCCAGCAAAATGATGTTCAAGAAACTATACAGCACTGTTGGCCCAGAAAAAAACTCACTACAGACTGATTCATATGCCTTCCAGCATAACCATTATTGCTTTTCTCATTTTTGATTCTTATAAGTATATTTCCAGTAGGACATGATCTCACTCATCTAGGGGAAATGGTGAACAACATAGACTGATGAACAAGAACAGATCCAGAGATAAGGAGCCATGGGTCAGACTGTTGGATCTCAAAGGGAGGATGGGGATAAAAGGGAGAAATCAACCAAAGGACTTGTGTGCACACACATGAGCCTAACAAGTGGTCAAGGACAATAGGGGGATGGGGGCATGTGTGGGGAGGATTGGGGGATTAGAAAGGGTGGGGGTTGAAGACAAATATGTGATACCTCAATCAATAAAGAAATTAAAAAAAAAGAAACTGAACAGCAACAGGAAAAGAAAAAA